ACTTGTGGGACGTTCTCATTCTATAAATATATGCGATCACATACGTTTGTATTTAAGAGTTTCGATTGTATATATAACAATTCTGTCTAGATGCGTTATCGCGAGGCACCGCCTATTCGATAGGTCCATATCTTCGTTGATAAAGTTTGCGATTGGATTACCTGATGCATCTCTATAATGATGCGAACGACTTTGGCGGTAAACAAGCCACAGTAAATAAGAAATTATCGCCATTTCAATCCAAAGATACACGTCAATGAGAGCGCGTTGCGCTCTCCTGAACACTCAGGAAACACGTTCTCCCGAATGTTACGGGCGAGCAATATTGAACACATCTTTCGGATATCAATAGAACAGATCCCACGCGCTTCGCGTTTAAGCTCTGTTCAACTTGGCAGAGTTTCAGCACAGTTGCACGCAATTTGCATCGCGTCGCGTTTTATTTTCGACGTCTCCAGCGTGAAACACGACGTCGCTTTCGCGTCCTTAAATGGCGAAGCGCTGAAATTGGGGAAAGAAAAGAAATTATGGAATTATCCAATGCGATTGACTTGTAAATTGGCTTCTGGGAAGGGAAAACAAACCTCGTATTTTGGATGGATAGAATTAACTTTATTTGGAATTCTTTAGATAACATTTTGTTGTTCTAGAGCGCGCAATCGATCAGTTAAATAACAACTTTCTTGTTTTGAAACGCATACTCCGCTGTCACTGACACTGTACATTTTTAAAGACTAGAATCTTGAGGTGGGAAAAGATAACAAAAAAATTGATTAAATAACAACGATATCTTCCTTAATCATAAAAATCAATTTATCAAATATGCTCATTGGCTCAATTGATAGTGCTGTATATCTTCTGATTAACTATAAAAAGATTAGAACTCGCTATGATGAGATACATTTGTTATTATTAAGAAGTAAAATGAAGGGAAATAAATATCAGCCGTTTATCGTTTAATTACAAAAGTAAAATAAAAATATATATATATATAATATATGTATTTATGTGTGTACATACAAAAAGGTACGAGATATAGCTGTAACGACTGGAAAAAAGGGTTCGCAAACTGTGCCGAGTTTTTAATTTATTTTCCAAGAAGAATTTTACGAGTGGCGCCGATGCTTTGACCTGCCTGGGTCGCACCCTTGTTGGAACCTGCTTGAAGACCAATCACTGTCTGACCAGCTTTCAATTGTTCCTCCGAGAACTCGCGTTTGCATTCGTCTGATGGCTTAGGTCCTAGATAAGGTCCTTTCCACTCGGGATGCTTGTATGTCTATAAACGAACAGAGATATCGATGTTTTTTGATTTTTACAATAATTACATCGATCAAAATCACATATAAAGAAAATGATTGCAAAACTTGTATAAAAATTCATGATTACGAGGATAAAGAAACGTACTGTTCGGCCGAGCGCGAACAGTGTTGTTACTACTTGGGCTATATCTTTCTTCTCCCATAAGTCTACTGTCTGGAAAACATCGACATCGTCCACCCCATAGTCCTTTAACGCCTTCTGGAACCTGCAACATATATTCAATGTAATCACATAATTTTCAATCAGTACAAACGTCTTGCCAGCCACTACTCACATATTGATGTTTTCCATCATCTTGAACTGCCCGCCGGAACTGTTCACCTTTGGTACGGATCCAGGAGAAAGTTTGTTCATCAAATGACACAAGACCTGACCATCCTTGAGCACATCTTCGAAGGCCTCACCAGGAGGAAACTTCTTACCAAGGATCGATTCAATCCATTCCTGTGCCTCCTTCTCCTGTTCGGGGTTGCGTTTCGCCGCAATCTGTGCAAAATTATTCGCGAATCTCAAAATTCTAACATACTGTTATTTAGCAGAAAAGCAGCATTATTCATAAATCTCGAATCTCCAATGGATTGATAAAATCCCACGATACTTCAAGTATCCCAAAATGTTTCAAAGAGCACATCTCTTTCGAAGAAAATACACGTTTGTTAGATATTATTAAGCGAATTGGTTTCTTTCTGTTTAAAAATTAAGAAAATTAAGAACTCGAAAGAATAGAGCACTATATTATACACATGACCGTAAACGGATCGGAACGGGTTACACCACACATTTGAAATATATGTGTATATAAATATATGTATATATACCTTCATGCGCACTTGACGTTCTAGAGCCATCCTTAAGATATTTTTGAAAAGACTGAAGTGGCGCGGCTTCTAGACGTGGCTTTTTATACGTTCCGGAGGAGTACGGAACCACCGTGGGCCAAGTCGGGGGAGAAATCTGTCCAACAACGTAAGAGGGTTGTATACGGGGTGTCCTAAGAAACGTTCGGACGAAAAAAAATTTTATCCAGGGAAGAACGCAGTCGAAGAGTCTTCGTTATTGTATTCATGTCGATTGGATCTACCTTCAAGACTTTTTTGACATTCTATTTTCTTCTTCATTGACTCGGTAATCAATAAACAAGATCCTATCGGAGATACTTTTTTTCCATGTTCCACATCGTTGACGCGACACCCCGTATAAACGACGCAAGCGTGCGTGATTCCACACGTTTCGGTATTCTAATATTAGCGGCTTATTCAGTTAAACGAGAAATAGGTTTTCCGAAATTGCAGAGACGCGCAGCTGCTACGAAAATTGGGCAGCTTAGTAATGACTTTAACAACCGGTAAATAGCCGAAACAAGATTCGTATGAATATATCGCTATTTTGTTGGCTATCTTCTATTAAAACGAGCCGATATAACAAAGTAACTATAATATTAAGGGTCTCAAATTGCGCGTCTCTATAATGTCTATTTAAAAAGTCATGTAATGGCAAAGAATGTTTTGATTTTTTTATTGAATCTCATAATTGCTTGATAGAACAGTTACACTGAAAAAAAATGTTTACCTTACACATTTCTTCGAGTAATTCTAAGTAAACTTACAGAGTAGGTAACTTTCACTTAATAAAAGAAGATAGTTAAATCAAATTAGTGGTTTTTGTATCAAATAAATAAATACTTGTTTAGAATGATTAAAATGTTTATTAAAATTTAGTTTTTTTTCCAGCGTAACTATCTAAAATTTCTTTTATTTTTTTTATATAAATTAATTTTATATAAATACGAGATTGCATATACTCTAATGTCCCAATGTGAATGGAGAAACGATAAGAAATCAATTAAACGAGGAACAAAGATTCTTCATATTACTTGTTGCTGCAAACTTAAGACTGAATCGAAGAGATTTGAATGGATCTTTATTGAGAGACAGAAATGTCAGATCTAGGATCGTCTGATTAGGTCGAATAAAACCGTTCGCGTTGTTCTCAGTCTGATTATATTGCATATTCCAACACATAACTCATCAGTATAATATAGGGCGTAGGCAACGTGTCGAGGTCCTGACATAGAAGGAAAAAAAATACGGTCGCCCTCGTGGAAAGTGGGACGTGCTACTTTTAAATAGTTCTCTGTCATATGGCGCAGGTTATTATTGCGCGATCCAGATTTTGCGGCAGATACTCGCCTGCCGTGCGAACGCAAGATAGGGAAAATACAGAAAATTATAGACATTCCGAGGACGAGGCTCTAAAAGTTCATCGCTAATATGTATGGCCTAATTCAAGCGAGACCGTTTGGGAAAATTCAAAGAATATCAAATTTTGTGTACTTCCTGCAAGACGATCTTGTTATAAATTAATAGGAAAAAATTAAAATTACTCTACACATTTTACATATCAAAAAAGCAATGATAACTCAATACCTTGAATCAAATAACACTTTATTGGTTTTAACTTTCGTGTCAAACTGTAAATTAATGTAATATGATTGAATCGTTTAATTTTGAAGAGTAAACAATACGCTTATATTAATTAACACTTATTAATACATATATATAAATAATAATGAATCAAATTGGAATCAAATTTAATACATTTCTTAAGTTAATTTATTTAACTCCGCATTAATTTAATTAAATTATTACGGCATATTCAGGAGTAGCAACTTACGGAAATGATTAAAAATAACTCAAACTGGGTATGATGATATAATAAATATTACGAATTTAATACACATAATAATATAAAGGTATGTTTTTAGAAGTTGTGAAAAGTGCAATGTAACATCCGAAACGGAAAGTAACGAATACAATATCTTCCAGAACGACTGTGAGATTTACGCGGCTTCATTACATTACGTAATTTGGATCTCGCGTGTGTCGATTCAAAGGGGATCATTTATTGGTCGGATGGTGGACCGATGAATCACGTTTAAATTTAAATTTTCTGCGTTCTTCCACTAGCTACAATATCGTCTGCTCCGTGTCAAAGATGCGTAGGCGTTTCTCCTGAAAGAGCGATGATGAGATTCCATATTCTTGACATTATCTTGGGAAATGCATCTACTTTCTTATTCGGTATTAATCATACACTATTAGATATCAAAAGAGCAATGTGATGTAGCTTCATCCCTTGAATTTAAATATTTTATTTTTAACTTCGAAAATATAGATTAATCCATTTATGTGATTAGTTTTAAAATAAACAATACTTATATTAACGTATGCTCTTTTTATTAATAAGTATAAACTAAAGAATTAAACTTAATAAATTTTGTTGAATTTTTTTAACTATTTAACTTTATTGTTTTAGTTAAATTATAATGACATATTGAGTAGGAGTGGTGACACAGTGATTAAAAATAACTCAAATTGAATTTAAATTGACATTAGAAACTTAACAGCATCGATTTATAATACAATTTCTGACACATATTTATAATTTTTTAAATTAAAATCTTATGTATTTTATAAATACATGTTAAATTAATTTCAAATTAAAATGAGAAAATATTATGTATAAATGCTATAATATATAATAATAATAGAGCTAAACAAAAAAAATTTAACATCGAATATAGCTTCTAACTCATATTTATAATTTCTGAATGAAAATTTTACATATTTTATAAATATGTTGTAAATTAATTTCGATTGAAACTGTTGTAAATCTTTTCAATCTTCTCGTCGTTTACCGTAAGTACGTGGTTGAGTAGGACGCGACTTGAAAAACTTTTTTCCTGTTGATGGAACCACCTCTTGCTGTATAAAGCAAAACATAAAAAAAGTCAATGAAACATGATTATCTTAATATCCTGAATCGATAAGTGAATGAGAGGCTAAATGAGATTATTATATATTAAAAAACTTGTTCACTCTCACTTTCACTTATTTCAATAGTTCTTAACTCTCATGTACGTAAAAAAAATCATCATTATAATATTCCTTTTTACTTTTAGCGCTTTCTTCTTAATTTTCTTGTGTTATATTTAATTTAATATTTTGTTTTTATATTTAATAACTTATAAACATCTATACCTTGTCTTGACTCTGCCTCTTTGCCAAAGATGTACGAGTCAGTGTCTGCGACGATAATTTATCTTCATCGCTATCGTATAAACCCACGCTAGAAACCTGACAAACAAGAAAATCTAGTATTCAAACAATTTCTTGAATTCTTATTTCCTAAACTCTTGTAGAATGTAAAAAGTTTCTGTAAAAAGATATGAATCATCAAGCACTTCGAAGAAATATCGGTTCAGAAGAGCAATTACGTTTCCGTCAAGGACTTATAAGTTTAAAGTGCAGTACCCTGATTTTTTTTGATGTTTTAACGCTTACAATAATAAACGTATAATTATTCTTTAATCTACTATTGTCCGTTCTTGTTTGCTTTAAAAACTCGTTCGGCATATGTGCTCTCTCTCTCTCTCTCTCTCTCTCTCTCTCTCTCTCTCTCTCTCTCTCTCCTCTCTGTCATTAGTCATTTTAATTTGATAATTTATAATATTTTTTAATTCGACTAATTATGTTCCGCAATGGTTTTTTAAACTTGATACTTTATTAATGTGCTTGATTTATGTATTTTCATACAAACATTTTGCGTTCTAAAGTAGTTTAAAAATAAAAATTCAAGAAATTTTTCGAATATTGCAAACTTAAGAAGATTTAATTACATAAAAGTTTTTATTTATTACCTTAACTCTTGTGCTTTCTCGTTTACTGACTTCTTTTTCCTTCTGAAGAGTCTTTAGTTGCAGTTGAAGTGTGCTAATGGAAATGTCGTTGGTGGTCTTAGTTTGTTCCAGAATCGTTTGCATTTCAGCGTTTTGCTTCTGTGTGAGTTGCAAATCTTTCTGCACGATCGAAAGCTTATTTTCGAGATTCTTGGAATAATTTATTTCACTTGATAATTTTTTTTCTATTCTGTTTACGTCGTTAACGAAACCTGTCTCCCTTAGTTTCAATGAGCTTAATATCGTTTCTAAATTCTGGATCTAGAAAATAATATTAAATTAGTAAAGACTAATATTATACATATATATAGTAGTCTATATTTTGTTAGTCAAAATTAATGAACAAGCCTGTACATAATTTATTTTACCTTTCCCGTTTTTACACTTAATTCATTCTCCAGCATATTTTGTCTATTCAGTAATGCTTCACTTTTAGTACACATCTGGTTATATCTCGCCATTATCACCTCTACTTCGTTTCTGTTATAAAAAAAATAAATTACTCAAATCTTAATAATTTTAATAATAAAATGCAATCTGAAATGTATGTTTATTTTCAAAACGTTCATCAAATTTGATTAATATAAGTATTTACTTGTACATGGAGATTTCATTCTGTAATTTTGAGATAAGTGTATCCTTTTGCGCTATCATTTCCGTAGTATTAATCTTATCCTGTTCTAGTGTATTCAATTGCGATTGTAAACTTTCCAATTTTGATTGTAGCCGCTGTTGTTCCTAAAACAAAATATTAAACTTACAATGTTAATAAAAAAAGAAGAAAACAAGAGAAAAAATCTTTTAGAATTTTTTTTAACTTACTTCGATGAACAATGCTTTTTCCTTAGCGTGTGCGCTTACTAATTCATTTTTCTGTGAATGGAATTCGCGCTCGGCGTCATTTACTTGTTTTTGCCATTTGTTTTGTTCCATCAGTGCCTGCTGCATTCTAATAGAATCGTTTAGTTAACACTATTATGTTCGTACAATTTATTGCGTGTGGCGCGATGACTTACTTCTCTTCTTGAAGTAGCAATTTATTTTCCACTTGTGTGGCAGATTTCGCGATGTCGCATTTCTCTTTCTCGATCGTCTGCAGTCGCGATTGTAAAGTCTCGCATTCCAATAGCAATCGCTGCTGCTCCTAAATTAGAAAAGTCAGTCAAAATAGATTATGGCAAAAAGTTGTGGGATCTCTTTAAAAATTACCTAAACAACGTACTTTGACGAGCATCAACTTTTCCTCAGCATGTTTATTCGCTAATTCATTCCTTTGACTGTGCAGCTTGCCTTCAAAATTTTCCAAATGCTTCTGCAGTTTATTTAGTTCTACCAACACTTCTTGTAATCTAATTCAAAAAATGATTTTGATAAAAATCGTTGTTCACGCGATAAACTATTAGAAATGTAATGAAAATTACCTTTCCTCTTTAAGCTGCAATTCATTTTTCAATTTTGCAATACAATTCTCCATATCTGCAATTACAGAATTAATTGTTTATGCGATGATAAATCTAAAATTAAGATTCTATCATTTTCCATGTATGTAAAAATTTGCCTTTTAATTTCGCCTCATTCTGCTGCAGCTTCTGAATGGCTTCTCGCTGCTTTAGAATCACGTCGTCGTACAAGGTGGACAAACTAACGCGATGCTGCTGAAAACTGGCAAGGCTCTCTCTGATGTAATTAAAATATTCCGTGATATTCTCGATGTACACCCAAGTTGCAGTCAGTCTGTTGTTGCCAAAAAAGAAAGTCGAGTCGCAGAATATAAGAGAGATTCGTGTCACGACAAAAGGGAAAGAAGAAAGAAATGAGGCTTACTTTGTTTGGATCTCTTCCTTGTTACGTGCGTCTACCTCCAAGGAAGCGGACAAAGAGGCCTGTGCCTCCTGGCTCTCCTTCAATTTTCGTCTTAGACTTTGGATTATACGATCCTTATTCTGCAGGTCTTGCTGCTTTATATTATCATCACGTGTGCAGGAATCTTCTGTAGTCACCTGTTACTTCCACAAAATGATATTCGTGAAAAATTGCTTTTCTTGCTTATTAGAGCAACTTCGATCAAACTTGAATTAACTTAAGCAGCGATTAATTTAATCGAAAGAAAACTAAACAAAATAAAGTCTAAAATCCATTATGTTTGATTTAAATTTTTCTTCCGTATCGAATAAAAAATAACAAATTTTATTCACTTTACCAAAATACTGCAAATATTATTTGATATGTTAATTACTAATTAAGTTAATCTGAGTTTGATTGAAGTCATCATTAGAAATTATTTGACAAAAGAAGGAACACAATAAAACAAGCGGTGTTTCCCAACGAGAGTCACACACAGCGTATTGTTACTATTGTTTACCGATTATAAACAGAGATGAAATGATTCACTGTGTTATCTGAGTCTGTAAAAACACTAAAAGTAAAGTTGTTTGTAATAATTCGCACCTCTTCCGTTTGCTGTAATTCATCATTGTTCCCCGTTTGATTTATCCATTGTGTGATCAGTGTATCGATAAACTTGCCGCCGCTTTGCGTGCTCGCGCGAGCTTTTTCTGCAAGTTTCGCATGAAAATCACAACACGAAGATTAATTAAAGCAAAAGACAAAGCTTACCTTCCTGCTGCATGTTTTCCGTTTAAAATATTTTTTTCTTAATTGATATATGTAACGATCGAAGCTCAATTCGACAGTCAGCTTTTATCTTGTATCTACTTTGCAACTCAAGTCGCAGATGCTCAGATGTTTGAACAAAAACATCGTCTCGCTTTTTTAATTTAATGTAATTGGTTGAATTTAAAGATAAGTATACCAATCACGTTCTACTGTTGTGTTCCAATATACCTACACTGATTTTCAGCACTGGTATACATTGAAACATGACCCATAGTTAGCCGCTTACTTCCGTTTCTTATTTTTTACTAACTTTTTTATCTTATCCTAATTCTAAGAATTAAACAAAGGTGACGAGTAAATTAATCGATTTTTAAATTAATCTACATTGACAGAATGGACGTCGATGAGCACTATTGGATCTTGCATTCTTGCAAAAATAAAAAAATCAAACGAGGCAATTTCAAATCGGTATATTTCCGCGCATGCTGATTTTCTTTTTTTTTTTTTTTATTATAATAACGTGCGGTTATGTATGTAGTGAGCAACAGAAGCTGTTTTATTAAAAATCCTGTAAAACCGGTTTCTAGAATATGAAAATATCGCATAAAATAGACGCACGAATTAAATTATTCTGGGAAAACAAAAGCAGCGCTCTGTAATTAGCTCGTTCGTATCTTACGAAGTTCGCGCAGCATACTGCAACGTTCTCTGTCGGTCTATCGCGTAAACAGTTCACTTCGTGTTCAGTGTCTCCGAATTGTTTTCAGGTTATATTTACCAGCGTGGAACGTAAACTGAAAACAATATTTCGAAAGAATATTTCCGATATATAAGCAAACGCTCGCGTCATCCTAGTGCTAGTTTAAAAATGCAGAAAGAAAAATAAGTATTTAAATGAAAATAGGAATAATAACTTTTTTTGATGTTTCTGTGATGTTACAGTCTGCGAAATTTTGAGAATCTCACGCTTCCTTTTAATATTATCATCGCCCAATTTGAAGACTGTTATAGCAATCTAAAGAAAATTTTATTTCAAAAAAATATTAACCATGTCAGGATTATTCGAGCAGATTAAGCTGCTTTATGATCAGGCACTTTATTGCAACGTGATCTCCCTGACGAACTTGGTGCTCTCTCTTAGCGAACACAATACCGACTTGCTGCCTGGCTACAGCAAGTTTCACGTATATGTTTATTACGCGGATGCTCATTTTCATCTAGGCAAATATCGCAGAGCAGAGACTCTCTACAAGAAGGCTCTGCAGTTTCGCAAATGTTTGTTGAAGTCCAAAGGTACGGGGAAACCTTTATTGGACGGACAGAAGGATCTGCCATCGGATGTCAACATCAAATATCAGATCCACTTGTGCCTAGTGAAGTCTAAAAATCTGCAAGAAGCTCTGCAAGTGCTACAGAGCATCCCTGGCAAACAGCGCACTGCCAAAGTAAACATGGCACTAGCCAAGATGTTCCATGAGCAAGGAATGGAACGTTCTGCTATTACCACATATAAAGAAGTATTAAAGGAATGTCCGTTAGCCTTGGAAGCAGCTGAAGGTCTCCTTTCTTTAGGAGTAAAGGGTGTGGAGGTCAACTCCCTGATCGTTGGTTCCATCTCTAACTCGATGAATTTGGAGTGGCTTAATACGTGGATCAAGGCTCATGCCCACATTCATAATAGAGAATACACTCATGCTGTGAGCACTCTGAGGTCGTTAGACAATGTTGTTTTGCTTAGGGATAATTTCAATCTATTGACTATCATGGGTGAGTGTTATTATTATGCAGGTGATGACAAGAATGCTCTGTTATGTCTGCGACGAGCTCGCGTTATCGAGCCAGATATAACAAAAGGGTAAGTTTGTTTAGATACATATATATTTTTTTTTATTATACAAGAGTACTTATTGTTTGTTACTTCTCTACAGGGTGGACATGTATGCCGCAGTTCTATACAAAATGCACCACATTAAAGAATTGGAACGGTTGATACCAGCGATAACTGCTAACAACGAATGTACTGGTGAAATTTACGTAGCAATGGCGTATTCTCTATTTGCTGCTAGAAAGTTCAGCAGGGCGAATACTCTCACTGCTCAGGCATTGAATTTGAATCCTAATGACATAGAAGCTACCATATTACGGGGTAATCTTCTTATCGAGCAAAAGAAGTATCAAGATGCCTTGTTCTTTTTTAGACACGCCGTGCAATTAAAACCGTACAGATATGAACCACATAAAGGCTTAGTAGATTGTCTTGTTGGGATGCATAGGTTGCGAGAGGCTCTGAACATCGCCAGTAGCTCTTGCAAACAACTTGGACACACAACAAGAGTTCTGGCAGTGAGTTAAAGTTGAAAAGAAAAAATATATCGAAAATGTAAAGTCTACAATATATAACATGGTATTTTTGCGTTTGCAGTTATATGCATCTGTCTTGATGAAAGATCCTGTGTCAGTGAGCAAGGCTAAGAATCTTCTTGAAAAAGCATTGTCTCAAGACGAAGTCTATTTACCCGCAGTATACTTACTCGCAGAGATATATGAACAGGAAATGAATTTAGAAGCAGCCATCGAACTACTCGAGAGACAGGTGGAGATTCACTCTACCTGCAAGCTCCATCAAACTTTAGGAGACTTATGGGCAAGAATGCACAATGAGGAGAAGGCTCTAGATCATTATGTGATAGCTTTAAAGTACATATTTCATTTTTCTAATTGTTGATTTACATCATAAATAGTTTTTTAGATGTAGCTTACCTATCTTTTATCTTCAGCTTGGATCCAAACAACAGGAGAGCTATGGAGGGAATGCACAGATTAGATAATTCTTCTAGTAAATTGGATTCTGCTTATTATATGACCGTTGGTGAGGAACAGGCTGATACAACCTATGATGTTGGTGACGGTCTACCAGATACAGATAACGATGAGGCACCAGAGGAGAGCGAGACTGAAGCTATTTGGTCGGATATGGACTTGGAAGCCAACAGCCAGTAGTCGTTTGTGTTTTAGAAACGAAATAGTCAGGAAATTGATCGAAATTTTGGCTTCTAAACTAAGTCCATTATAATGAATTTCTCGAAAAAGAATCTTGAGGAAAATAATTTGTACGAATGAAATGAGACTGAGATTGTTCATGATTAATATTATTTGATAGTAATATACATCGTAGACAATTTACTTCTTTTTATAATAAACCCAACAATTGTACCGTCGTGGAGCTCTGTTGCCTACTTTTAAAAATGTAAATGTTAAATTTTTATTAATTTCTGTTACGAAAATATTTTCATAAAATGGAGAATTCTAGTATAGGGAAGGATTAAGGCAAACGAACATGTACCCGTTATTTGTTATATTATATTAGTGATTACAACTTAGATTTATATAAACAGCGCAAACTATTCAATAATAAAATATATATAGATTGTAGGAAGTCATAATAATAATAATTCTTAGATCGATGTAAAACAATATCACATCACTTGCAGAATAGGAAAGCTTATCACTGGCTTGCGATTCGCCAACATGCCTTTCCATATCTTTTACACCTGATATGTCGGTATTGTCAAGGATCCAAGCATAAAGCCTCAATTACCAGAAACTCGCGTCTATGTAACAATACTACATTCGTCAACAATATCCGTACACATATATATATATATATATATATATGTATGTATATATGTATATCGTTTACATTTGTCGCTACGTCCGATTCTCAAAGTATTTGCCATGTTACATTCTCTCATTCTTTTTCTCTCTCTCACTCTCACTCTAACATATAAATCGATAACAATTATTCACAAGAATTCTCTCGCGATTTAAATATATAAGTTTATCACGAGAAAGGTACCAATATTCGATGCAACAATTAAACTTTATATGTGCAATATAACAATTTAAATCTGTACGACTTCTTATACGCGTTGGCTGTTTGTGAAATTGCTTATCATATTTTCTTACATAACTACACATCTACAGGAATGTAGAATTTATCGGTCAAAGACACAAGAAATACCTCGGGATCAATTTACGCGCGTGACATGTCTGTAAAATATCCTCTTACGTGAATTTTCATTCGAAATGGAAGGTACGATTAATTTAATTGATGATCAACCTCGAGCGAATTTATCGTTCAGCCGGTTAATTCATTTTTATTTTATTGCAATTACTTCTTTAGTATCTGTTTCATTTGTTTCGTTTGATGCTGCATACTATATTGAGCGTTCTCGGCCTTCGTGACCAAGGAATCCAGCTTATCCAGATGAGATCTCATTTTCAGGCTGAGATCAAGCTGCTGGGCGCCGCTGTTCGCGGGCTGGTCCGCGATGTCCGTGATGGTCACATTTGACGTCTCCACCGTCATCACCTCGTCGACCATGGATTCTGGTTTCTCTTGCTGATTTTCCTGCTTTCCCGCGTCAGGATTCGGCTCCTCGGGCTTGTGACGCGGCGTTCCACCGCGAGAGTTTACCTTCACCTTGAGCAACGTTCCCAGACTGCCGCAAACTGTCTGCGGAATTCTTTATTAGAGGCCTTTTTCTTTCTCCCTCTCATTCTTCTATCTCGCGGCGGGGAAAAGTATAGAAAACGTGCAATGTCTCGATTTAAAAACGTGTAACACCGATTTATTTGTAATTCGTCCGCGTAGATTTTACGAATCTCATGACGAACAATTCATTTAGCCGCGGTAGAGAACCGCGGCGGTGCAGGAGGGAAGCGTTATCAATTTGCGAGCAGGTAAGGACATAAAGTGATCCCGTCGTATCGGTCGTAAAAATTCCGCGCTATCGTTATGACAAAATAATAATTAATTCGAGCAACATGCGAAATAAGTGCGCGCAGGCCCGCTCGGCAATTAATTATCCCAAGTCACCTTGAATCTGTTGAGCTTCTTCTGCGTGGTGCTCAGAATGCTGTTTAGCTCGTCCAGACCGCCGCCGATGCGTCCAGCCGCCTCGTCCACGTAATCCAAGTCCTACGAGATAAGAGAGCGTCGTCATGAGGAAATTCGTATCGCAGACACGCGTGGACACGTTTGTCGGCGTTATAATGAACCCCGCGATCACCTCGGGACGACGTCAGCGATTTATTCCCGACGGGTCTGACTCGTTGCACGTGGACGCGCAACCCGATTCTGCTGTGTAATGTCTATCACGATTGTGATATCTTCGTAAGTGCATTAGCCAGCCGTTCATTAACACATGAAAGAGAAAGAGAGAGAGAGAGAGAGAGAAAAAGAGCGCGAATGAACGAAAAGGAAAAGAAAAGGGAATTAAAAAATTATTATAAAGTCACAAATATAGATAACTGCAAAGTACATCGTTCGAGTCTCTGATCCTCTCTCTTGATTGCGTCTTTTTACTTTACGGCGATTAAAAAAAAAAAGTATAAGTTTAATTCTCGTTGAGTCATGGTGACTATAAATGGTTGATGAAACGTATTATATAAATAACCCGTTCACCAAAGGGCGTGCCTCAATGAAACGACACTCGGACCGCTACTTTAGACATATTTTCAAACAGATCCTGTCCGATTTGAAATTCTTTTAGCGCAAAAGCGAGGCGCAGCAGCGCGATTACCTGTAATGCACCATCGTCATCGTCGCAACGACGATTCTCGTTCGCCGCTTGCGACTGCCTCCACTCCTCCTCGCTAGGCTTCGGCAAGCCCAATAATTCTGCCCTCTCGCAGGCGTGCTGATAGTCCTCGGACATGACGCTGGGTCCCAGCTATATAACGATGGGGGCCGCTACCCGAAAACGTCGGGCGTCGCGACGAGCGATCGTTCGCGAGTACTCTCTCGGACGCGAAATTCCGTGGGAATCGTTGCGCCCTTGGCGCGAGGCATGCATCACTCAAAGAATCCATATTGCCGTAGAAACTGCGCAAGCTCGACCGAAGGCGGGCAGAAATTACGGATAAAGCTTCGCGCGAAGTCGCGCGCGACACCCTCCTTGGAAACAGTTGGGACTTCGATCGGGGCTGATCCCGATCAAATATTAATTTCTCTCCTGTACCAATTTTATCGTCAGTGAGGCGTGAGATATTTTAGGACATTTCAGCAACATTGCGTAGCAACGTTGCTACAAAATGTCTCGTGCTTCCTGGACCGGTTTTGACATCGTTATCACGCGCATTAAAGCCCATCACGCAGTACTATATATTCGATACATGCGTTCCCCAAGGAATTTACGCGTAAAGGTCAACAACAACCCAAAATGACTTAATTTTTCTTGACTGTTAATAAACAGTCTAATTTTGTAAAAAAAAAAGAATCGTTATTTCGACTTTTATAACGTCAAAATAAAATCATTTCAACTTTCTCTCGATTTGATGTGTTCCTTGGATTGTTTGTATCGCGCGTATGCTTGTCTGCACTTTTGGTGCAAGATGCAGAAAATTTTTGTCTGACTGCTCTTGATTTGATTTGTATTATGCGTGTACTTTGTAATTGCGTTTGTTCGCACTGTATTCTACCTACGCGCGTATCTTATAAGATATGTTCGATTAAGCGCGTAATAGTGTACTATATATACCTACCTATTCCACACCTATTACTTTTTTCATTTCTTACGATACTATTATGTTATTATTATTTTTCTATTGTATTCACATTGTATTATAGGTAGGCTCATAACAACAGTTGCGTGCCTCATCATGTTTCGCACTTGCAATAAATTAAATTAAATTAAATTAATTTATATATAAATTAAATTAAGTTGAATGAAAATATTAATCTTCAAGAGGCTCTGAGAGCTAAGAGACAGATCGATCCGGTCTTGAAAAGTGAAGTGGGTATGAAGCTTATAGATGAAAGCTCTTCCAATCCAAATTTTTAAGAGAGTTTCTCGATAATATAAGTGGTATTAGATCGGAAGTTGTGATTGTTTGGGAAAGCGGCTTCCGAGCGATCAAATACTTATTGCAGATAAAAAGAACGTAAAACGCGAGGCGTTTTAGATCGCGAGATAAGCGGAGCTCGGGTTCCCAGGGCGGTCTCTATATCGTTCATAATTAATTTCAATCTCGTCGCGTGCACCTGGACCACACATAGCACAGTACCGCACAAGCCGTCCTCACCCACGTGCACGTCATAAAGACATGCACGCGCACCTTATATAAGCTTCGCGACAGCTTGATCGGTTTGCATTGTTGTCGGAGCGAAGTCTGCGTCGTCTCGCGAGTGAGTTATGGCACCGGCAATGTCATCGCGGATCGCGGTACGGAAGATCGGGTTTACTTTGATCCTGCTGCTCGTGTCATCCGCGCAGGTGAGACGGGGTGTCTCGGTCTTGTCGTGGAAGAAAGTTGGAAAGAGAGAGAGAGAGAGAGATGAAGGAGAGATGGCTGAATTTTGAGAGATTAATTACCTTTTTAATTCTTATCTTTTTAATTTATTTTTTAATTTTAATTCATATTTATACTTTTAATTCTTTTATTACTTTATTCCTTTTTTAAATTAATTTCAATATACTTAAAAATAAATTGGGATTTACTTAAACGTAAATTTAAATTTAAGTAAAATGTATTTTACTTGAATTTAAATTTTAATATTTATGGTATTTAGATTAAAATATACAGTGTATACTTTTAGTATTTCTATGAATAAAAAATCGTTATTTTGTTAAACTGATTAGAAACAAATAGCTGGGAGCTTTGGAATGTTGATTAATATATCGCATTTAAATACGATTGCGTTTTAATATTTAAATTTATTTTTAGTATTATAAACGTTTATAGTTCGTAATAAAATTATGTTATCCAACGAGAGAGATCGTATTCACCTATTTTTTGAAAGATTTATTGGGTTATCGTTTGTCAAATTAAAGACACCAACTCAACCAAGTCCAGGGATAATAGATTCCGATGAATAACAGTATTACATCCCAATATCGTCGGCGTGTTATTGAACAAGTTAACAATGAGAACGATGCCCGATAAAGGTCGTTAAATTCTATGTGATCACAAATAATTATAAGCGAAGAAAATAAAAGATATAAGAAATCATAACGGATGGCCATAGAATTAGAAAATTAGCCGATAATTTGACTAGTCAATGGCGAGTTTTCGCGTAAACGATCAAAGTAGACATCATAATTTTGTCAAACTTTCTTTTGCAAATTAATTACTTTTATATCGCAATGACATTTTAAAAATACGGCAAAATAAATTAAATACTATTTTAGAGAGATTACAGATTAATTAATTTAAACATTAATTAAATGTTTATCTATTTATTTACAAAAAGAAGTGTTGAAGAGAAGAGTCGATCTCTCTCAGCTGTTTCAGGATAGTTGTTTTATTTCCTAATTTCTCTAGGCGGTGGACTATGAATTCCACAGACACGACGAGATATCGGCGAATTGGAACGACAACGTAATCTTGACGAGTCGCGACTTTCTCGAGCAGCTGAATTTCGTGGCGGCAAAAGAGAGTTACACGTTACAAGAAGCCACGGAGCACTTGCTGTATTTCGGTGCACTCCTGCGAGCGCGAATAGTCGACACCTTCGGCAGCCTCCTCTACGATTATTACGATGACTTCAGTGTTGCGGAAGTGGAAGCGTTGCACAAGATTTATTGGAAGATCTTCGAACGACAATACGGCGTATTCGACCTAATCCCCAGTGTCCTGAGGAACCCGGATACCAGACCGTCCAGGATCTGTGCCGAGATCTACAAACACACCAGGAATTCCTGTCTGCGGAGTAGCGCGAGTATGTGCCGTAGAATCAGGAAGCAGCACGATCTCCCGCATCCCGATGATCACAACGCAGCTGCGTTGAATATCACGTACCACGTGTACCATTCGTCCAAAGTATCGAAGCAGTACCCTAGAGGTTTCTCTCTGACGACACTGCTGAGGCACCTGCAGCGGGAAGTGCTGGTACTCACGCCCAATCTACTCTCTGGACTTTTTTATAATGTGAGATACGACAACTACGACGACGACGTTCGCCTCGCCGAGCGGGAACTTGTACGACACTTCCGTGAAATCTCGGAGACTAGCGAGATTTCGGTGTCGACGGTGGAGCTGAGGAAGTTCCATACTATGAATTCCTTCCTAAAATACTACATCGGTACGTACGCCGAGAAATCTTCGGACAACGATCTGAAAAAGTACGCGCTTCTAATTGCGAAGCGAATCACCGACGACGTCGGCATGATCGACGAGAATATCCACTTGCTCGGCAACGTCTACGAGAACCAGGCGATTCACGTTGACTATCTCTTCGATCTCGTGCTGCCTGATGACCTACTTGAGAAAGACATCATCGAGGCTAAGAAATACCTAGTGATGAAATTAAACAAATTCAGCGTAGTGGAAAAGTATCTGAAAATACAGAAATATCAACAGACGACTCCCGCTCAGCTGATGATGGAGATCACCAGACAGCTGATAGACATCGACTTCGCCAAAAACATCGCGACGTCTCTGCGGATGCACGCGAAATTCTGGCACAAGAGTCGCATGATCGAGAGTCTCGACGAGCTGTTGGAACTGTTCGATGCTTATGAGAATTTGCGGCAAGTGCCGCGCTACCTGCACACAATGCAGAAGATCGATGGAATCAAGGAGAGTTTGCGGGATATGAAGGACGTCCCCGTCGAAATTCTCTGCAACGTTCCGCGAGCTTGTCTGCGAATAGGTCTGCAATTAATTTTACATTGTAAATTGATAAATTCTCAAATCAAAGATTCCATCAAAGACTTTCTCGAGCTGAGCGACGAGTGCGTGGACACTCCAATACCGGATTCAAGACGCTCGGTGGAGATCCCGTTCAAAATATCGAAGAAACGTTTCAGCACTACATTGCTGACTACAGGATTAGCAGGTGAAACCACGATTCGACGCAGTACAGTCTATCGTAAATTCAAAGGGACTACAAAGCCTGTTGAAATATTTACCAAAGCTCCAAAGATTCAAAAGAAACTCAGCAAGGATGAAGTTCCGAAATTTTCGAGCACGATGACGACAACTGTGTTGACCACGACCGAACCCATGGCGCCAATCACAACCACGGCCATAACGAGTACGACAGTTGCGACAACTACACCATCACCTACAACGATCACGACGTTACCCACGACGACTACGACTTTGCCTGTTACAGAGGAACCCACTACGACTACGTTGCCAACGACAACTACAACACTATCTACAACTACGACAATGTTGCCAACAACTACAACATTGCCTACGACTACCACTACAACGTTATCCACGACTGCTATACCCACAACAATCAGTACAACATTGCCTACGACTACCACAATGTTGCCTACGACTACCACAGCAGTGCCTACGACTACCACGACATTACCTACGACTACCACGACATTGCCTACGACTACCACGACACTGCCTACGACTACCACGACATTGCCTACGACTACGACATTACCTACGACTACCACGACATTGCCTACGACTACGACATTACCTACGACTACCACGACATTACCTACGACTACCACGACATTGCCTACGACTACCACAACATTACCCACAACGATCAGTAGTACATTACCTACAACTAGTCCCACAACTTTGCCCACAACGATCAGTACAACATTGCCTACTACAACTTCCACAATGTCGATCACGACGACAACCACGACTGCACCTACAATAGAGATACCGATGGTGAATACCAATATGAAAATGGAACTGAATCGTTCGAAGGTTCTGACAAAAATTTACACACCGTACGTTGACGTTGGAATTTCGACGAAGACCTCGAGGGTAACTGCAACACCTGTCCTCATCGAATCTTGCGAGCCGTATGGATGCATTACTGAACAAAGTACAACTAGCGAATATGTCGAAACGATGCCTACTCTGCTCTCGACG